ACCTGAAGTCAGATACTGTGCTGCCTGTCATCTGCCTGACCTCATACAGTCCTATATTCTGAGTGTGTAGTGGTAATGTTAGGCAGTTGACCTGCTGCATAGTCATTGATGCTCCAGCTAGTGTCAGGTTCAGATAAAGTAATCAAAGCAAAATAAGAGAAAAATCTCAATTATTGTTAAGTAAGCCTGCACAAGACTGCAGATTTTAAACTGGGCTCACCTTAATACCATCTGCCCCCTGGGCCCATTGACCTGCATGAGAAAATGAAGACTTAAAAGCCTGCCCATCAAGGCCCCGGCTTTTTGGCGCTCAAGGCAAAGGAGAAGATTTCCTTTGTTATTTCTACAGAGCTTATTCATCAAACAGTGCTGGGCAATGTGAAGAAGCAGTAACATCCTAGCAATTGTATCAGGCAGATACACAGAATGTTCTCATTAAGATGCCCCCTACAGCTCAGACACTGGACAAACTTCTCTAGCCTTATTTTCCAGGACAGCCTTCCCATAAGTTTAGGAAACACTGTGGTGTAGGATTGTGGCCTCTTAGGAATCTTTACCAGTATTTCCCACAAGGAGAGTCACAACTCTTCTGCCTACAATTTAGGAAATACCATTCAAACATGTGAAGCGGCGCTATCACCCAACAAGTAAACAAATATGTGCAAAAAACAAATATTATAGTGAACAATACTATTGTGAGAGAAAGGCCTCATTCACACATGAATCGGCCTGCACGTACAGCTCCATGCTGGTCTCTGCCCACTCTTGTAATTTCTTGTGTGTATTTTTTGCTGAAGTGCTCATAAAAAACACCAGTGCTCTGATAACTAAGCCTCTCACCTTCGTGTTCAGACCCTTGGGCCTCAAAGCGTTATTTATAGGGTAAAACTCCTTCCTCACACTATTTGAAGCTGTGATCTTCCTTCCTTCAGATGAGACCAATCCTAATCTTAACGTTTTTCTCCTCTACCGACAGCCCAACTTCATCTCAAAAAGATCTCTCAAAGACAGAAGTGGAAATCATAGAGCACCCCGTATGTATAAAATGATTTTATTTTAAAAATACACTCACATAAAAACGAATAAAATCGCGTATCAGAATCACATTCCTGGATGTCAGATCTGTCCTCCTCTTTCTCTCCAGGCGTGATGAAGTCACTGACTCAGCTTCTACACGTTACGTCTAATTGACTTCATCAGGACAGATCTGACATCCAGGAATGTGATTCTGATACGCGATTTTATTCGTTATGTGAGTGTATTATTTTTTTAATAAAATCTTTTTATGCATATGGGGTGCACTATGATTTCCACTTCTGTCTTTGAGAGATCTTTTTGAGATGAAGTTGGGCTGTCGGTAGAGGAGAAAAACGTTAAGATCAGGATTGGTCTCATCTGAAGGAAGGTAGATCACAGCTTCAAATAGTGTGAGGAAGGAGTTTTACCCTATAAATAGCGCTTTGAGGCCCAAGGGTGTGAACACGGAGGTGAGAGGCTTAGTTATCAGAGCACTGGTGTTTTTTATGAGCACTTCAGCAAAAAATACACACAAGAAATTACAAGAGTGGGCAGAGTGACGCACAAAGAAAGACTAAGACAACACTTTTTTTTTTTGGACACTTTTTTTCAATTATGTTTTTTACACACTCACACATGACGTTTGCTACTTTATTAGTCATTTGGAGTTTTTTTTAGATTATCACCTTGTGATTTACCCAAACAGTTGACTAGAAGATTCAATTTGGAAAATATTTGAAAAATACTATTTATACATATGATTTTTCTTTTGGCCTCATTCACACACGAATCGGCCTGCACGTACAGCTCCGTGCTGCGTGCGGGGCCGTACCAAGTAGCTGCCGGGAAGGACAGGTGCTGCGTGTGATTAGAACGCAGCCCCCTTCCTTCTCTATGGAGCTACGCGGCCGTACGCCCCCTACGCTCACCTCATTTGCAGGTCCGTAGGGGTGCGGGTTTTCTGGCCGGGACGCATACATGTTCCATTCCGGCGGCGTATGAATATGATTACCCGCACCCCTACGGACCTGCAAGTGACACACAAAGAAAGACTAAGACAACACTTGTTGTTTTTTTTGGACACTTTGTTTCAATTATGTGTTTTACACACTGACACAGGACGTTTGCTACTTTATTAGCCATTTGGAGTTTTTTAGATTATCACCTTGTGATTTACACAAACAGTTGACTAGAAGATTTAATTTTGAAAATATTTGAAAAATACAATATATACATATGTTTTTATTTATTTTTTCTTTTCTCTCACAGCAGTATTGTTGACTATAATATTTGGTTTTTGCACATATTTGTCTACTTGTTGGGTGATAGCGCCGCTTCACATGTTTGAATGATATTAATGCAGGCTCATGCAGCCAATTTAAGTGAGCAGCTGTAAGGAGAAACGCCCAGTTTTCTTAGATTAATCGAGCGCAGAAGTCCCTGTCGATAATTAAATTTAGGAAATACGTTGTTCCCAAAAAGCATTGTTCCAGTAACTCTCCAGTGTACGCAAGGAGTCAATGACAGGTATAGAACAACCCTGTCTGGACCCCATATAGAGAGGCAACTCGTAGGAAAGCCTAACTGCAGTTAATTCAAAACTCAACTAATAAATATATTGGAGGAGGTACAGCAGGGAAGTTTACATATACAACAGAAAGTCCAAAAAGAGTATATTGGAGGAAATTTCTGTGTGTACGATGCATCTATAACAGAATGGGACACGTAGACTTCTGTGCAAATACTAAATACGTTTGTGCCTAGCTTTTCTGATTATCAGTAGCAATGCTTGGTTGATCACATTATGAAGGAATAGTTGACATATCATGGAAGCTTATATAGGGACCAATGGACTGTGCAAGGACATATCATGGAAGCTTATAGGGAACAGTGGATTGTGCAAGGACATATCATGGAAGCTTATAGGGAACAGTTGATTGTGCAAGGACATATCATGGATAGTTATAGTGAAATGTAGACTGTGAAAGCACATATCATGGAAGCTTATAGGGAACAGTTAATTGTGCAAGGAGATATCATGGATGCTTATGGGAAACAGTTGACTGTGCAAGGACATATCATGGGAGCTAATAGTGAACAGTTGACTGTGCAAGGACATACCATGTAAGCCTATAATGAACAGTGGACTGTGTAAGGACATCTCATGGAAGCATATCGGGAACAGTGGACTGTGCAAGAACATATCATGAAATCTTACAGTGAACAGTGGACTGTGCGAGGACATATCATGGAATTTTACAGGGAACAGTGGACTATGCGAGGACATACCATGTAAGCATATAATGAACAGTGGACTGTGTAAGGACATATCATGGAAGTTTATAGTGAACAGTGGACTGTGCAAGGACATATCATGTAAGCATATAATTAACAGTGGAGTGAGCAGAAACGTATCAAAGAAGCTTATAATGAACAGTGGACTGTGTAAGGACATACCATGTAAGCATATAATTAACAGTGGAGTGTACAAAGACATATCATGGAACCTTATAGGTAAAAGTGGACTGTGAAAATTTGGATATTTAAAGTGAAAAGTGGAGTGTGCAAGGACATATTTTGGAAGCTTATAGGGAACCGTGGACTATGCAAGGACATACTGTATTTTGAAAGCTTCCAGTGCCCTTCAGTGGGAATATTGGACAGGTCAAATAAGCACCTGGACCAGAACTCATTTCAGTTCTGATATATTACTAAAGCCCTTGCCTGTCTACTTATAAATGTTATTACATTGATATGGGCACAGTGTTGTAGAAAACAAGTAATGCATAAGCTAACATATTGTGTGCTGCATATACTGTATATATGAGACACTATAGCAGCAGGCTGCATGGGGGCTGCAGAGAGTGTTTGATGAATTCTTTGTGCCTGCTTATAAATATTCATGTAGCTTAAATACATAATAATAAAAACATGTAATACGTTTTAAATGGCAAAATATATATAATTCTGTTTAACTAACCTTGTCATTAACTCGTCCCTGAAATACCGTATAGGCAGCATGTAACACTATTATTCACAGCTTGCAACTATTGAACTTCATGAGGCACTCCAGCTTGTAATTGGACAACACTGGAGAGGACTCCCCTGTGCTTCTTATAATCCTATAATGCCTAAACACTTACCCTTCATCTCCCCCCCCAACCGTGTTAAACATGTTAGACTGACACCAATTGGCAGCAATGCAAACTAGCTTGACTGGTCTTGACTTGCTCAGATACTAGGCTAATGCTAGGAGTACCAGAACGGTAAACCAAAACTAGTGTATTCTGGTGCACTCCATCCAGCTTGAGACTTTAATTATTGGGCCACTATTGCCGCAGGGTGCATGGGAGCTGCTGAGAGTGTTTGGTCACTTCTTTGCACTTGCTGATAAATATTCTTTTATGTAGCGGAAAGAAATACATGGATATGTTTTACATGTAATTCTGCTTAACTAGCCTTGCGACTGGTCTTGACTTGATCAGGTAATATGCTAAAAGTAGGAGTGCCAGAACTGTAAACCAAGACTAGTGAATTCTGCTGCACTCCATCCAGCTTAAGACTTTAATCATTGGGGTGCTGTAATGACTCATCAGGCAGTAGGAGGAGGAAGGATTATCTTAGTGGCCCTGAAACATTGCAATCACGTTATAATGTGACAAATAAAGACGTTCAAATTTTACCAGCGGGTGGTCCGATGACAATTCTGTTATACTGATTACTATTTACCTTCACCATCTGCCTGTAAGTCATTATAGCACCCCAATACTTGAAGTCTCAAGCTGTATGGGGTGCGCCAAATTACACTAGTTTTGGTTTACAGTACTGGCACAGCTACTTTCAGCCTGATATCTCATTTTCTAGGTTTTATAATGTGTTAAGAATGATTTGGGGCAATTATCTTAGAAAGCAATGATTTTCATTTCAGTTGTTCCATTATACACACCAGGAAATAATGTTTGAGATACATTTTGGCCAGTTACCTGATAGGTAGATGTTGTCTCCTGCACTGACCACGCTGAAGAATTCCCGGTCGTAGAAGGGAAGGCTGGCCAGTGGGTACCATTTGTTGATTTGTGGGTTTAAACAAGTCACAGCCGTTAATGTTCTCTGATTCATTCCTATCATCTGCCGACCACCAACCAGTACGATGACTTCCGCTACACCTGCATCAAAGAAATCAGAATAGAAGAAACACTATAATTAGCAGATAGACTAGTGCCAGACAACTGTAAGAACCTAGTAACCAATGCTTCTTATACGACAATGTAAATTCCTTTATATATACCGAGTATACAGTGTGAGGGTCTACCTAAAAATACATTGAGGCAATTTACTAAGACTGGAGCAGACCGAATCTGGAGTAGCTGTGCATGGTAACCAATCAGCTTCTATCTTTCATGTTTAAAGCTTAACTGATGAACGAAGCAGATTGATCACTCTGGACAACTTCTTCAGATTCTGTCTGCTCAGTTTTTGATAAATTTCCACCAGTGTGTTTACATTAGATCAGGAAGACTCTTGAACTACATGGTGGTTGGTAAATCTAAAGGGCATGGACAATCAATTAAATTGTTTGTAAGCCCAAATCCTAAAGACTTGATGTTGCTTTTGGAAAGATTGAACTTTACATGTAGAGAAAGCTCTCAAAAATGTGAGAAAATCTGGTTTGGGTGGCTAAGTGGCCATCCCCCAGACCTCCTGCCTTAGTCATGCAAAGCATTTTGATGTTCCTGTTTATGGGAGAGATACACCAATCAGCCATTACATTATGACCACCCGCCTAATATTGAGTAGGTCCCCCTTTTGCTGCCAAAACAGCCCTGACCTGTCACAGGGATCCCAACCTGAAAAAAAGCAATTCCAGGGAGGTGCCCTTCTCATTTCAGGGAGGTGACAGTTGCTGTCGTCAGAATAATAATTTAAAAAAAACCAACAGCATAGGAATGCATAGCTAGATTCCTGTTGTTTTATGTTTTCTTTTCCTGTTGTATGAAACTTAAAACTCTTGAAGAACTGTGTTCTTCACGAATAAAAAATTACCTCGATAAAAAAGTCACACACGCATTAATATGCTAAATGTAATTTCAAAAGTCTTTTTTTTCCATTATTAATAAAATCTGAAGCTTTCACTAAACTAATACCTGGTGATCCTGCCATAAAGGTCCTTGTTCAGGTACTTCCTGTTATAGTGTGACAATGCTCTGTCCTTGTCTACCTGTTGTGCTCCTGTGTTGTCACCCTCTCACTTGCTCTACAAGTAGAGGCATCATTTCAGGTAAGTCCTTACATTAGCATTGGGGGGTGGAAAAAAAATTGCCTTTAATGTCACTTTAAAGTACCTGAAAGTATTTTTAAGATTCAACTCCTGAGTTTAGAGTCACCTAATGCAATGTATAAGTGAGCAGCATCCACTACTTTATAAATAGACCTCTTATATTTCAGTTTCAGTGTCCTCTGAGACTCCAGTAGGGAGATCCTGTCATTTTAAGTAACGCTACCCTTCGGTTGGAGTCTCAAACTTTCCAATTCATTAACTGAATTGGCATTCCGAATTCACCATATAAGAAAGCTTAAATAGATAGTATGATACCTTTTTTTAATGGCTGTGGCATGTGGCCAAGGGATAAAATGAACCAGTGGGTGTTTAAACTCTGAGTCAGCAGCATCTATCAAGATCTGAAATCCTATATTTGGGAAAGCTGACTCTTTCTTTTTATGGTAATTTGTCTAATAATGATATAAATATAATAATAAATCTGGATTTTCAGTTTCTTGGTTCTCTTTCTAATAGATACAAGGCAAACTAATGAATGAATTATAATGTAAATTCAGGTCCACAGTTAAAAAAGCTTAAGAGAAGACCTTAAAATGATTGATTCCATGGATCTCTTTTACTAATCATGACATATATTTAGCAGCCTTTCTAGGCTACTATAGATTAGGCCAGTTTCTAGCCTCAGGAAAGAAGTCATAAATCAGTAAAGTCATTACTGCAGCCTCACAAAAAAAGAAGCCAAAAAACTGACGCTTTCAAGACATGGTGTTGGCATCTTAACAGGCAGAAGTTATGACAAATGTGTGAATTTTGGACAGATTTGGGTGCAGCATAGCAGATAGCTTATCTATACATGGCTTCTGGAATGACACAATAACATGTCATATGCTAGTGGTAATTTTTAATACAGGACTCAACGGGGCAGTTTAATTTTTCTCAGAACCCATAGGATGTAGTTGTACTGAACAGAAAATATTGCAAATATTTGTAATAAAACACTTATTTTCACCTTTGTGCATCCTTTAGTTGTGTGCCAGTGATATTTCCTGCAGCATCTTCCTGTCTACATGCACTCTACAGCAATGGCTGCATGGCATTTCTCTGGGTGGGTTTCCTAATGATGACAACAATGGACCATGCCTGTGTAATTTAGTCTCCATCACAAGCCCATGGGACACGATGACTGTGCAGGAACGAGGAGGCAGGGACATGGTGTTGTCACCCTATAACAGGAAGTGCTTTTACAATGACCTTCATAATAGAATTACCAGGAGTTATTTTAAGGCTTGTTCACACCATGTCCGGACCAGAACAGTTTTTTTCTGGGCTCTGTTCACACTGGCGCTGTCCATTCCGGTCCAGACAAAAAAATACAAATTTTCTCTGGTCTGGAATGAATTGGAACGCATGTAAATGCATCAAATACACATGCAAACGTACTGGACTGCAGCTAAAAGCACATTTTAAGCTAAAAAAAGAAAAAATGCACCGGAACGCATCAAATAAAGCATCAAAAACGCACTACACAGCGTCTGCAGATCTGCTCCAGATCTGGTCCGGACATGGTGCAAACATATATGGAATGAAAGATGTAGAGTTTAAAATATTGAAAATTATTTTCAAACTCACATTAATATTTTAAAGTTTATATGAAATTTTAGTGATTGGGTTTACGAATATTTTAATAGTCACAAAAGGTCTGCCATGTCTCTGCTGAGCTGTATCTAAATGTTAGCTACTAAAGATCATAGTTTTACCCTTTAACTTAGACTAGTGCCACCCACTTGTGCATTGTTAGTACTTTGGTCAAAGCCAGTCACAATCATTATGGCTCAGGGGACAATAAAAGAGAAATATGGCCCAACCTTTTGTTTTTCCATAGTTCTCTATAGGGCCACAGAAAGGCATATACTAGGCATTTACTATGTCCTCCTGTGACCCAAAGCACAGCATATAGCTGGCTATTGTCCGCTATAAGCTGACAGTGCAGCTGGGACAATCCTGACAATATTGTTGGGAATCACCCCCACCGCCTGATTGACAGCTGGCTCTGCCTCTCTGGAGGCAGTGCTAGCTGTGCTTGCCCCCTTACCCGTCCATTCCTCTAGTCGGCACTGGAGGAACGGAGAGGGGAGGGGGGAATACCTGCGGGAGCAATGATTGACATTCACCACTCTGTGCAGGAAGAAGGTCAGGAACTGAGTGATCGGCGGTATGGGATCGCTCAGTTACCAATCAATAGAGCCAACGTGTGACAGCTGCAGTGTCACATGTTGGCTCTAATTATGGGAATGAGTGTATTTAACTTTCCCCCATAATTCTCCTTTAAGGTGCCATGGTCTGCTGATCATTGGTTGAAAATTATACAGTGTCTATCAAGAAAAGATAATGTATTTTTTAGCTGGACTTATTCAGATTACCACTTAGGAGAGTGGGACTCAAGGAAAAAGGTTAATTGTGTTTGTGAAAGAATTGGAATGGTCAGGACCTCTGTCAAGTCGCATTGCTGTCTGGAACCCTGTAAGTGGTCCAGTATGTTAAGGGGGAAACTTCTAAAAAAAACAAAAAAAAACTATAAACAATATCTGAAAGCACTTTTAACCTTTGTCTACTATCGAAAACAAAAACCTGCTGGTTGCAATTTTGGTTTAATGGGGGCAAATTTTATCATGAACCCTAAATGTCAATCTGAAGTCTTGGATCAGTTCAATGTTATGTGCTTTTACAGGCATACGTGAACTTTTTTTAAAATAAAAACTAAACAAATGTAAAAAAATATTTTAAAAAGATATCCATTAGATTGCATGCAAGTTTGAAGAGTGTTCCATAGTAGAGTATGGAGTACAAATGTGTGGTCCAAAAACACCTTTTTAGGGTACTTATAGAGACGGGCTGACAGTTGGCTGGATTTAGAGACAATCTCATATCTGCTTGAGCCATGTAGAACTATGGTGGTCCTACAACTGGGCAGGTAATAAAAACTTGTCTTGATGACCATTGTTCTCTTTACCAAAAAGCAGGTGCCAGAATCCTGCTTCTTACTCTACCCCCCTAAAACTTCTTCAGTGAACCTATATGTACCATAACCCTGAGGTCAGTCCAATTGCGTCTGCCCATTCAACCACTCTCACAATTCAGTGGGCAAGTCTTGCGTACGCTTTATCATACTCCCCAACAGATCACCAATTATGATCTGTCCCAGCACCACCTCTTGTACGTGCACCACCAATTATGATCTGTCCCAGCACCACCTCTTGTACCTGCACCTCCAATTATGACCTGTCCCAACACCACCTCTTGTACCTGCACCACCAATTATGATCTGTCCCAGCACCACCTCTTGTACCTGCACCACCAATTATGATCTGTCCTAACACCACCTCTTGTACCTGCACCACCATTTATGATCTGTCCCAGCACCACCTCTTGTACCTGCTGAAAGTCTTGGCCTTGTGCGTGGAGTCTGCATTTCCTGACGGGCATGTGGGAGCATGTGATACCGCTTTGCTTCATTGACTAGATCTCGACAAGCCTCTGATGACTTTATCAACTCCTCATTGTCAACCACGTTGAGTAGATAACTTGGATGGATGAAGGGTAGACGGACCACGGCCAACAATTCGGCGGAATGCTGCAAAATGAGGACACAAAGCGCACAGTGTGTTAAACTTTATCAGAGATAGCAGCTCCTTTTCCCATTTTCATCCTGCGACAAAGAATTTGTTAAGGTACAAAGGATTCTAAATTTGAATGGACGGTGAAAGTGAGAACCGCACAGCAGGTTTACCAACATGTATTCAAAGGGGACAGGCTCTTGCGCAATTCACATTACAGCTGCAATTACATTCAGTTTCAACAGTAGGTTCAATGAAAAGCAACAGAACAGGGAATGTGAATAGTGTTATATATGATCTTCAAGACAAAGCATAAAAGAGCATGCATTTTGGTTGTCAGAGGTGGAATCTTGCTTGATTTCAGTCCAAATTAGCACTTCCAAAAAAATTTCTCTCCAGGCAAGCAGTAAAATGCACACTTAAAATACATAAATACAGGAAGTCTTCTGCCTTCCAACATATTTTTGATTCTGCTCAGCCACTCACCCCTGCCACACTGAATAGCCAGTTGGGTAAGCTATTTTTCTCTATAATGGGCAGGTGATAAAGCGTGGTCACCTCCCTAGACCAGACCACTGACTGAACAAAAATGGAGCATCAATGCTACAGTGTAGTCATCCGTGTGCTCTTTCTCAGCTCCCAGCTTCTGAAAACCCATTAAAATAACATTATTGAAGTTTCACATCGACATTTATTAAAGAAATGGGAAAACTTTGACCCAGCCAATCTACAGAATTGATGGAATCTTCTGCAAAATGGGTTAAGTGCCTACCAGCCCTATTACAGTTTAAACCTATGTAATACTCTATCCCCCTTTTCCTGACTTCACTCTACATATTGCCTACGGCTCCAACTGGGCAATCCTAGCACATATATCCCTGTTTTTGCTCACCAATGGGGCTTAGAACTCCAGAGTCAGATCACTAGACATGTGCACTGCCAAAAAATTTGTTTAGTTTCGTTTCGTTTTAAATTCGGATTTGTGTTATTTCGTTTTTCAGGATTCGGGTGTGAAAGTAAATTCGGAAGAAATTCGGTAGCGTTAGTACGAACGTTCGTTTCGTTTTCTGTTCTTATTCGTTTCGTATTCGTTTCGTTCGTTCGTTTGCAGCAAAGTGACATTTGAAGGGGGAAAAATATTTTTCTCCTTCTCTAATGTCACTTTGCTCCAACGAACGAAACGAATAAGAAACGAATAAGAACAGAAAACGAAACGAACGTTCGTACTAACGCTACCGAATTTCAGAAATGGAAATTCGGATTCGTTTGCATTCGTTATGTCTGTAATTCGGAATTCGGATACATCCGAATTTCGATTCGGAACGAAACGAATCGCACATGTCTACAGATCACTGAGGTGCCCTCTATTAGTGGTTCAGTGGTTTACTCTATTAGTGGTTTACATTGATTGTGATCCATGTAGCCAATGGTCCTACTCGGTTGTTCATTCCTAAATATTATATTGTACCATATGTAATCTCCACAACATTTTCTGATTACTTTGTCTATACTTTCAAAGGTATTTAAGTATGTTTTCTGTTTTATTGTAATGTCTATTTGAAAACAATGTAAAAGAAACAGGTCACCAGCACTCGTTTAGAATAAATATGTCCTTTTTTAATGGACAATTGTGTCACTACAATCAACAGAGCTCTGTTGATTGTAGTGACACAATTGTCCATTAAAAAAGGACATATTTATTCTAAACGAGTGCTGGTGACCTGTTTCTTTTACTTCGTATTTTGCGCGGTGCCATCCGTGATAGTCATTGCGAGCACCACCGTTCTTATTTGGCCAGGACTGCTGTAAGGTGTGCGGAGAGGACCCCCACCACCTGAATATTTGAAAACAATAACATTTTGTGGAAAAAATAAAAAAAATAACATTATTGAGCGATGCATGGAGCCTTATTGTTTTACAATATTTACTCTCAGTGAAAATCCTAGTGTGTAAAGGTTCATATTATTATAAAGACAATCTACAGATACCTATGTTAACAATAAATCATATATATTTTGTGGATTCAAATATTGGAGCTCCCAATTCAAGCATGCTTTTTTTTTTTTAAGATGTAGGTTATCCTAGCTTCACTGCCTAGTGGATCACTGACCTAAAGCAAGCATGCGGGGAGGGAGTTTAAACTTTTACCAGACTTCACTGACCATCACACCTAAGTCTGCCATGATAGTGCCCAAATATTTGTTCTCCCCAGTTAACTTGCTGTAAGACTTTGTAGAATTTAAAAAATATATTTTCCTGCTCACCTGCAGGCATCTGTGTCCCATTCATGAATACTTTCCTGCAGTGTTAATTTTGACAGCAAATTTAATTTCAGTCTTTGGACAAAAATTAATTTTTATGTTTAGTCGTATTTCAATCATCTGAATAATTTTAGTTTTAGTCTAGTTGTAGTCCATGAAAATTCCAGTCGATTTTAGTCGACTAAAATCTAAAAGGTTTATTGTTAATGTAATGCATTATACTGTATAAGCAATTCTCTAGAATTTCCAAATTAATTTCATGATATATTCCTGGAGTAAACCTCTATTAGCCAGTTATTACTTATGGTATTAAGGTTTGAATATGCAAAACAGCCTCAGATTTAGACATTGTGATGTAGAACGTCTTCATTTATCTTAAAATTAATACCAGGTTTCATGAACAAACAAGGATATTACTTTTTTTTACAAACAGACGTGTAACTTTATATATATATACAAAAAAAAACTTGAAACTTTATAGACTTTAACGCCATTACTGAGCTAAATGTACAGTAGGAGCCACTGCTCGTTTAATACGAGTGATCTAATGATCACCATAGAGATCGAGATCACCATAGAGCAGACGAAGTACGGACGTTTTTCATCTGCTCTGTGTGATCACTGAGACCGTGGCGCTGTAATCACAGCGCCACCTATCTCAGCGGTCACTAACTGCATCTTCTGTCTCAGCTTCTGTCACAGAAGCTGTGACAGAAGCCACGGGACCTCCCTGCGTCCTATGGTCCGGTGCGTCTTATGGAAAATATACGGTAAATATCCCACTGAGAACAGAGACTAAGAACACTTGTTACTGCTATTTACTATTCCCATAGCAACATTATGTATCTCACTGTTAGTTTACTGGTCTCTTTTTTGTGGGATATTTACCAATTTTGTCAATTCTGAGAGAAAGTTGATAAACAGTTGATAAACAAGTATACTGTGTTGTAAAATATGTACTCGTATTGCCTTTCTCTGTAATCTGTTCTGTGCATTCTTTCTCACACTACACCAGTCTGTACATTACAGAAAATAATAGCGAAAATTAAATTTTTGCAATATGTCTATAATGTGTCAATGTCTGTGAACAATCCAACACTTGGCGCCTCCAGTGAATCTGCACAAATCTTCCTCATATCAGCTTTTGTCTGTTTGACAAAAGTCAATTTCTCAATTAACTTTTGTTAAAAGAGAACTATGGGGTAAGTGTTTTTCCCCATAGTTCTCTTAAGGGTCACGGGAGGACATATACAAGTGTCCTCCCATGACCCAAAGCTCAGTATATCGCGAGCTACAGTTCACAGTATACTGAGACCGCCGCAGCCGGGATGGATCCGGACAATGCTGTTGAGATCCACACAGCTGCATGAATGACAGCGGGCTCTGCCTATCTAGAGGCAGAGCCAGATGTGCCCGCCCCCATCCATTCCTCCAGTCAGCGCTGGAGGATCGGACAGGGGAGGGGATACCTACGGGGAGCCATGAGTGACAGTCACGGCTCTCTGCAGAGAGAGGATTGAGAAGTGAGCGAGCGACGGTATGTGTTATCTCACTTCCCGTTCTCTATTGAGCCGACGTGTGACACTTTCATTGTCACACGTCGGCTTGAACTATGAGGATGAGTGATTTTCACTCATCCTCATAGTTCTCCTTTAAGTCACTCAACACCACAAAAAGTTTCTGCAGCTAGAGCTAGTACAGCCACAGTATAATAAAACCCATACTCATGGGTTATGCTTATATCTAGAGGACGTCTGCCTACTGCCTGGAAGAGGAAGAGCTCAGGAAACCGGAAGTTGTCATGCAATCATCCATCTGATTTACACTTCATTTGTCGACGAAAATTCTCCAAATTTTCGTCATCATTTTCAACCCTTTAAAGGAGAACTATGGGGTTCTATCTTTTCTTTATGAATGCATTCCTTAGGCTAAATAAGTAAATTATGGAATTTACTCTAATTAGCCAAAATGCACAGTAAGGCTGTAAACCCTTATTTAAGGTGGTGGGCGGGGCTAAGCGTCGCAATGAGGAGACATCCCGACGTATCTGACGGGATCCTCCCCACTGATCTTCCTCACTGTGACTGACAGTGATTCTTGAGAGCTGCTGCGCGTCCACGAATATATGGACATGCGCCGCAGCTCTCTCCTTACCTGCACGTCCCCGTGTGCCAGCCGGGCTCCTTCCCCCCTCTCTCTCTCTCCCTGCCCTGTGTGACACTGACATACTAAAATGATCGTGGATCACTGATGACAGAGGGGGAGGAGCCCTCTCTCTCTCTTCAGCATTTACTACAAATGGGAAAGTCTATATATGGTAAATTATGTCACTGGAGATCCCTGCAGATCGGATGCTTGCCAGTCTGCAGGGATCCCCAGTGACATCATTCACCATATATGGACTTGCCCATTTGTAGTAAATGCTGAAGAGAGAGAGAGAGCGCTCCTTCCCCTCTCTCATCAGCGATCCCCAGTGAATTGAGGATGTCAGCGTCACACAGGGCAGGGAGAGAGAGAGAGGGGAAGGAGCCTTCTCTCTCTCTTCATCATTTACCACATATGGGCAAGTCCATATATGATGAATGATGTCACTGGGGATCCCTGCTGATCGGATGCTTGCCAGTCTGCAGGGATACCCAGTGACATCATTCACCATATATGGACTTGCCCATTTCTGGTAAATGATGGAGAGAGGGATGGCTCTTTATCCTCTCTCTCTCCCCCTGTGTTATGCTGACATCGTAATTACTGGGGAT